TAAAATAATTTTATAATTATTAAAAAATTTAATAATATCGTTAAGATGATCTTAACTCCATTGAAAAAAAATAGCTAGTTTCTGTAAAGACTACCCAGACATTTCAAAGCACCTCTCATTTCTATGATCCCTTTGAATCACTATGTACCTGATGAACTTCATGTCATGTTAAGGATTTGGGACCAATTGTAAGAATTAGTTATTCTGGAGCTCAAGTCTAAAAGTAAATATAATGAATATAATAGAGAAATTATCATTAGAGAAATGAAACAGGTTTCAGTAATGTTTCAGTTTTGGCAGGATCATAATGTAGAAAACTGGATTTACACACCTTTAATGGGTGAGATAAGGAAAAGTATTGCATAGTTTTAATTTTGAGGTCATTTTTGATGAAGAATAAGCTATATTAATTAATCATTTGTAAAGAGACTTTCATATACTTTACAAACTTATAAAACAACCAGGAACTGATCCAGCTGCTTTTGCAGTTCAAGCAAAAAAATGGCTTAACTTATTTCTTACACCTCACCAAGGTGAACCAAATACGGTGTTTTTTAAGAAAGATCTTTATCATCCAAATGATATTAGTCTGTATATGCATATTCTGGTTCATCATGTAACAGAATTCATAGATCTCATAAATGTTTTGGGTTTGCAGCATTTTCTTGTAAGGCTATCGATAAAAAAAACTACAATCATGTTGTAACTTTTTTTAGAAGAACAATGAAAGATAATAGTAATGGAATTGAAAGAAAATCAGCTGTTTTTAAAATTCTTGATTATGAAAATAGGTTTTTATACTATAGTAGCAAAAAATCTACTAACTTAGACTCTAAACCGCAATATTTTCATATCAAAGAACATGACGTTTTATAAATATTTTAATTAGAATTAAAAATTTCAATCAATTAGTATCTTTAATAATTACAATTTTAAAGCAATTATATTTTATAAAAAAAATATATCAATATTCTTTTATTTAGAAGCCAGCTTTTAATTTTTTGATTAAATATATCGAAAAAAATTTCACAGATACAGTTTTTTTAAATGTAATTTTCGACTATGGTTCAAATAACTTATATACTAGGCTCTATAAATACAATTCTTCTTACTGTACTCTAAATGTAAGTTGTCAAAAGCCTGATCTCTTCAAATTGCATTTATAGATGTTCGACTACATATTGTTTATGATGCAAAGTAGAATTTGGTCAGACAGGTTGAATATCAAATATCTACTAGCTGGTATAAAATTTAGTTTTAAAAAATAATAATTATTTTTTTCTTTTAATAAATAGACTTCTATGCATGACTCTAGTTCTAATGACAATCGAAGTTTTTAAATTTCAATCTGCAACTAATCAGTTAGTTGATTATTCAGCCATTGTCAATCTATTAATATTTAATTTTTATATTATTTTATTTCTAATCTTAAATCAATTAGGGTAGCTACACCATGTAGTTGCACTTAAACCAGAAAAGTAGTATATAAATTTTCTAGTTTTTTAAAAAAAAAAATTATTGCTAGTTTTTTTTTTGAAAATTTGTCTAGTAATACAAACTTTATATTCATGAATTGGTTCTTTAACCTGCTGTAGAATATACTGTAACTGTATCTTAAACAAGGTTTATAAAAGTTTTCAACTGAGCAAATTTGTGTTTCTAAATTGTCTTCAGCTTGCTTAATTGAAGAAGTTTTTTAGCCAGCTATATTTGTATAAAGAATTTTGAAAGTATAAGTACTCAATATTTAAAATTTGAGTTATATGAAAGGCTTGAGTTTTTTATATATTTACTTATTATATCAACTTTTATTCATTAATCAATGTTTATTTTTTCCTTTGGTTAACATAGATTTTCAAAGTTATAAAAAAATTCATTTATTGTTGCAGATTAAAATGAAATCAGATTAAAATGAAACAGGAGACCTTTCTCGCTCCCCTTTAAAGCTTATAAAACCTACTTATACTCTTTTTTTAATAAACCTAACACTAAACCCTAACTCTAACCCTAATCCTAACTCTAAAAAATGTTCACCAAAATTTTTTAAATCATTCCTAAAAAATATTAAAATTTCATTTTAATCTGTCACATTTATTTAATTTGATTTTGCTATTTATCACCACTGGTGATCATCACTAGTGTAATACAAAATAGTAAACAGGTAATGTAAATATATATACAGTATATATATATATATAAATGATCGACATCACGTGGGTGGACAATAAAACAACTATTACCTTATATAGAGTTTGGAACCGGTTTTATTTTTTATATATTAAACTAATCAAACCGGTTTAACATATAAAAATAAAACCAGTTTCAAACTCTATGCCTACATACTAAGTATTTTATTATGCTTCGAATAATATAACACAGATGATAGTTTGATAAATGGCTACGTACCTATGTACATACATAAGCACTAACAGTTATAATAATATCTCTCTTTTACTAGAAATTTTAGCTTCTTAACTCTAAATCTGTGCCATACTGTGGATACATCCTAATCCTAAAGTCCTAATTATTCGCAAATGCTTATCTGGAACTGTTCTGATTCTGAATCGGAATAATTCCAATCCAGGATACAACTTAATAATCGTATATTTTTATCCTGTTAAAGTAATGTGTTAAATGACATAATCACATTATGGGTGTGCTATTTAATCAACTTTAATCCAACAGGTATAAATGACACGTCCGGTAACAAATCGTGATTTGACTTTTACTGAGGTGGTATCACTATGCTAAAGAAAAATAAAGGTGGGTACTGTTTGAAATAGTTAAAGCGATGTTAGTTAAAGCGATATTAGTTAAAGCAATATTAGTTAAAGCAATGTTAGTTAAAGCAATGTTAGTTAAAGCAATATTAGTTAAAGTGACATTAGTTAAAGCGATGTTAGTTAAAGTGACATTAATTAAAGTGACATTAGTTAAAGTGATGTTAGTTAAACAACATTAGTTAAAGCGATGTTAGTTAAAGCGACATTAGTTAAAGCAACATTAGTTAAAGCAATATTAGTTAAAACGATATTAGTTAAAGCGATGTTAGTTAAAGTGACATTAGTTAAAGTGATGTTAGTTAAAGCGAACTAGTTAAAGTGATGTTAGTTAAAGCGACATTAGTTAAAGCGACATTAATTAAAGCGATATTAGTTAAAGTGATGTTAGTTAAGGCGATGTTAGTTAAAGCGACATTAGTTAAAGTGAAGTTAGTAAAAGCAATATTAGTTAAAGCGATGTTAGTTAAAGTGACATTAATTAAAGCAATATTAGTTAAAGTGATGTTAGTTAAAGCGATGTTAGTTAAAGCAATATTAGTTAAAGCGATGTTAGTTAAAGCAATGTTAGTTAAAGCAATATTAGTTAAAGCGATGTTAGTTAAAGCGACATTAGTTAAAGCGACATTAATTAAAGTGATATTAGTTAAAGTGACATTAATTAAAGCGACATTAATTAAAGCAATGTTAGTTAAAGCGATGTTAGTTAAAGCAATATTAGTTAAAGTGACATTAGTTAAAGCAACATTAGTTAAAGCAATATTAGTTAAAGTGATATTAGTTAAAGAGACATTAGTTAAAGCAACATTAGTTAAAGCGACATTAGTTAAAGCAACATTAGTTAAAGCGATGTTAGTTAAAGCAACATTAGTTAAAGCGACATTAGTTAAAGCAATATTAGTTAAAGTGCCATTAGTTAAAGCGATATTAATTGTCACAGATTATCATGAAATTTGGGGGTCTTGATTTGAAAATATAAGCCCTACCAAAATCCACCTATACTCTTTTATTAATAATTCTAACCCTAAACCCTAACTTAACTATAAAAAAAAAGCTTACAAAAAAGGCCCCAAAAAATTTTAAAAATCGTATATAAAATAAATATAAATTTCACGATGATCCAATTTCACGATAATCCGTGACATTAATTAAAGCAATATTAGTTAAAGCAATGTTAGTTAAAGTGATGTTCGTTAAAGCGATGTTAGTTAAAGTGACATTAGTTAAAGTGATGTTAGTTAAAGTGACATTAGTTAAAGTGATGTTAGTTAAAGCAACATTAATTAAAGCAACATTAATTAAAGCAATGTTAGTTAAAGTGATGTTAGTTAAAGTGACATTAGTTAAAGCAACATTAGTTAAAGTGATATTAGTTAAAGCGACATTAGTTAAAGTGACATTAGTTAAAGTGATATTAGTTAAAGCAATATTAGTTAAAGCAATATTAGTTAAAGCGACATTAGTTAAAGCAACATTAGTTAAAGCGATGTTAGTTAAAAGCTCTTAGTAAGTAGTTTGTCAATTATAAGAGAGGTGCATTATTACTTATATAAGTTGTCAAGAACGATTTTGATCAAAAATTTGCAGCAAAATTGCCTGCAAATTCTTTAAGGGACAGAACCTGCCCAGTTTTATTTTTCTATATGTTAGACTCAGGTTAACATATGAAAAATAAAACTGGCCTAAACTCAATACAAAATGATGAAATTACAGTAGATCAATATGGTATAAGCGACAGAATTTGTATACATACTAATTTAGAACAATAAATTTTACAATCACAAGCGAAGCATGCAAGCTATACAGAAACATGTGTGGTATTTATTTTGGCTTAATTCAACGATTTTATTTGTTGACTGTATCAGCCTTATGCTAAGCATATCCATGAATATTATGACCTTTACCAAGACAATAGCTACATGTTCTTTGTTTACGATTAGAATGTTGCTTAGCATATTCTTTATCTTTTTCAATATACGATTTCAATCGTTTTGGGGGACGACCTCTTAGCTTATAATATTCTGGGTTAGAAACTTCAATAGTATTAAAACTAGAACCTGAGTTAATTAGAGGTTGTCAGATATCAGATTCAATTTCACTAGTAGAGGCATTTGTTTGCATATCTTCATTTTGTATACTACGAGTCTCTTGTATGCCCAAACTAGTATTGCGACGATATTTTGTTATGAATTGGGTTAAAACCCTGACTAATTCTGCTGCAATGCTCTCTGATACTGCAATTTGAACACTGGTCTTGGCTAATGACATCGTAGTACCAAATTGAACCTTTTTATCATTGTATTCTTTAATATTTGGCATAGATACATTAGCAGTTCGAATTCGTTAATATGGTATAATGGTGTAGATGTAAAAGTTTTGATTCCTTGAGATATTGTAACATGCTTTATTTTGGATAGAATTGATTTAAACCAACGAGTATTAATAAACCCCAAATGAAAAATTGCATTAGGTAATTGAATAAAAATTCAATATTGATAACAGTATGGCATTCCTAAATTTATTATTTGCATACACGTACAAAGCAACATCGAATCTTTTAAGGATCACGACATAATGTGATTTGGATGTTGAAGTTGCAGCAACATAAGAAACCTTCCAAATTTCTTGTACTTCCTCATTTGATATACCTGAAAAAGTTCGCTTAATTGAATTTGAGGTACATTATAAAGATGTTCAATTGCATAATCAGCTTCAATATTGGACTTCTTAACCTATCCATAGAATTTAGCATCAGTATTAATTAGTAAAATTATCTATAGAATTTAGTGTCAGTAAAATTATCTATAAAATCTAGTATCAGCATTTATTAGTAAAAATTCAATACTTGCCTGTTCAATTGTAGTCAAAATTTCTTGGTATAACGATGACTAGTTCATCTGGGCTCATTGAAGTGAAAGCAGAATAGGTGTTAAATGCTCAGCCAATACCAAATCAATAGCTTTGAAAATAGTATTGTAAGTAGATGGCAAGCCAGATGATAGATTGGATCCATAATAATCTCTGATATGATTATAACTGGCTTCTTTTTCCAATTCTTGTTCGATTGCTTTTACTAGTTTCTTAAACAAGGTACCTCGATTAACGTGTTTCTTAAGAACACTATTTATTGATTCTGCCTGTTGTATTGACTCAGCGCCTGCTATAAACACTTTTAAAATAGAATATTTTGCCCAAGCTTCATAGCTTGGGTAAAGCTTTTTTTCAAGATAGGAGCGACAGGGTTTATACTTTGTAAGCATGTGCTGGTATTTTAATTCAAAAAGTTCTTAGGTGCAACTATTTCTCATATGGTAAAAATCTTCAACAAAATTTTAGCCACATTATCATGAAGTTTTGATTTGGCTTTCTTTTTAACATTTTCGTCAATATGATAAATGCACAAAAAATGGTGTGTTTGTGGGTACACAACCTGAATGGCCGTGATCATCGCTGGATCTCCATTGCTAAACAAAACCACAGAGAACAAGTTATTGGTTGCTTCCAATGTACATTGCAAGATCCAATCATAATCGGCTTGCATTTTATACTTTATCAAGGCTTGGGCGAGGATTCTTGATTTGAAGTTATTATCAACTCCAATAAATAGGCTAAGAGCC